CATAGCTCCGACTCCAGAGGAGGCTCTCGTCAGCTGCACTGCCCGTGGTCGTTCCTTGTCGACCGGCCATAGCGAACGTTTATCTCCGATGCCCAGGTCCGCTGTCCTGTGCATTTTCAATATTCTAAGAGCCTATATGTCGTAGCAACTCACGTTCCTGGGCTTCTAGAAGTAGCGACTAAGACGATTGAGTCCGAAGGTTTCGAGAAAGTGGAATCCCAGACATGACGGGTCTCCTCGATCCATCGCTGAATTCTAACGAGCGCTAATGCGGAACGTTGGCTCTCGATGGGACCAGCGATGACGGGATGATTTACGGGCACCACGAGAACCCAGGAAGACTTCTGACGCTCCAGGTGACTCGGTGAAAGGATCACGGATCACGGCACGAATTCCTCCCAACAGGGGAGTGCGAGGGGCTCACATCTACCGAAGGGGGCACGGATAGGCACAAAACTCCCGACAAGGACGAGAGGTTCACTCGCCTTCCGATGGTACGAGCAATCGTGGTATCCCCGAGACCCGAGATCAGAATCCTGTGAGCTCCCGGTAGATTCTTCGAGACGCTACCCCTTCCTCAGTTCAATTAGGAATTTGGAGAACAGATTCACATGGGCAACGGCTTTGAAATACAAACAACGAAATTCTCTGCAAATTCGCTACGAGGTGGGCTCCAGGTGATGGGCATACTCGAATTCAATGCCTGCGCATTTCTCTGCAGTCTACTCGCGGGAGCGGCGTTTCGATATCGGCGAGTCGGACTACGGGGTGGCGGGCCCGGAGTTCTTAGCTTCGCGGGGGATATTATCCAAGCTGTAGTCGTCTGTTTCCTGGTTGTGATGATCCTCTCTATCTTGGACGAGAGATCTCTGGATGATATGAAGAATAGGTTTCGAGAGACCATCAGGATCGTATCAGCCGAGACTCCTTTCAAGTGGTCATCTAATCGTCAATTGGAGGACGTATTCGGTCAGCCGTATGTACCGCCAGACGCACCGGCGTCTTCTTTGAGGAGTCCTCGGGCAGAAAACGCTAGGAGGGGAATTCCCAACTTCAACTACAGAGATCCTGAAGGTCGAAAGAAGGTGCGACCAGAGAAACCTCCAATAACGAAAAAGCGTTTCGGTTCGGACTTCGAAGCTGGAAAGAATTCCGATTTTGTGATCGGTTTCGAAGATTCACAACACGATCGAGATGCAGTCGCACCGGGGGGTCCGAATCAAGGTAGTCGTCGACCGGATGAGAAGGTGAAGGAACCCAGCGCAGATGATCCACTCAAGAGAAAATTAGCGAAGTAAGTATTCCCCGAACTGCGGTACTTCCCCATACGAAGGAACGTATAGGAGCGATTGACCGAGCATCGTGCATCGGCAAACCTTGGAGAGAATTGGCTCGGCTATATCAGCTTGTACGTGGATCCGGCATTCAAACGGCGCTGACAGACAAAATCTGCCGTTAGGGGACGGAGGAAACAGCTCAAGAAGAAAGAGGCTGATATGATGCTTTCGTACGCCTACATACCTGGTCTTTGCTATAAAGGAGTGCAGCCAAATGGTACGCCGTGCATCAAAAGCGTCGGCGAGTCCGAGAATGAGTAAGTTGGTCCACCGTGGAATATTGTAAAGGGTCGGGACTCCACTAAGGATTCAGGCGGGAGACCATGTTGGATGAATCCGGGCTCTCGCGAAAAAAATGATCGACTCTTCAGCTGGACAGTCCTCAGCTTGCGGGAAGTCAGGAGCGTCGCACACGAGAAACCTCACGCGAATTTGGATCTGGACGTGCCCGAGCTGGAGAAATTATGTGGGTTATTCTTAGAGATTAAAGCGATAAAATTTGGACCTCATGATGTCAGTTGCTAATTGTGTCGCCGAGACCGGAGCTCCTATTCATCACATTCCCGATCAGGGAAGTCATCCGATTTTGAAGCGATAAGGGATGGACTCGCGGATTATTGGGTACAAACAACGGAGGATTCGATGTTCACAACCCTCGCTCGAGAATACAAGCTCCACGGGAAATTCCTCCAATGGGAAGAGTGAGCTGTCCTTCCAACATGCACGCTCAACCATTCATTGGCATATTTGAGTGTTTTGTTCGACGACCTCTCGACACGAGGCGATTTTTTGGTGTACCTAATTGAAGGTTTCGGAATTTCAAGGGCTGAAATGGACAGTTTCCATGATTACCTGGAAACCATACAGCAGTTAGCCGAGAAAATTGATTTCGAGAGTGAGTATCCCTAATCATTAAACATCGAGCAGAGGAAAGTCGCACAGCCTGACTTATGCTCCGTCCGTCTCGCCTGGTCGGTGATCATTAATAATTCGTATTTCACTTCAGCGAAAATGGAAGGCTTTGCGCACCAGCCGGGTGATAATAAAACTGTCAAAACAAAAGCGTGGAAGTTTCACATATCGGGATTCCACGCGAGTCCAAACCTAGTCTGCAGGCCAGCATCGCTCACTGATAAAGCTAGTGGGGCTCAGAAGATCTATGTCGGGGTGGAAGTGTGCTTCACCAAGGAGCTTGAACCAGCAGACTGCCCGAAGTAATGGAGCCTTTGACTTAACGGAATTTTCTGTTACTAGGTCGAGGTCCAACGATTCCGGAAGACCTGACTTCTTTTGCCCTTCGCAGGAAAATCTCGACATGTGACACGCAAGCACTATACGTACCGAAGACAACTTCGGAAATGCCTCATGCGTAAGGAGAAATCCGCCGACGGGAGGCAGACCCAGAGCGTTCCCCGGGACTATTCCTTGATATAAAATATTTCTACGCCAGACAATATTCGGAAACTCCGAATTCTCGGTGCGAGACCTCAAAGCGACATTCAAGACATACTTGATCGATTGTTTCGTAGTCTCCTTTATTTGTTAAGACAATTCTTGCGACTCTTCGCAATGAATCCTTGGAAGAAAAGTTGCACTCCGTTCTCTCATTTGATTCAAGTCCTCGATTCCGTAATCCAAGCTGCTTCACAGAGTGGGGAGCTCGAGGAGAGTCGCGGAAGCTACTGGCTTGGAGTTCGTGGTCCGGTGGAGCTCGCGGCGAGTCGCGACTTTACGAACTAAGATATCTCATTGTACAGAAAAGAACCCCAATTGACGCTTATGGTCAGCTTTATCGAACCGGTGATTGAGGTGTCGCAGTCGCATGACTAAATCAAACGTCCCAACGGGTCTATGTTTTCGTCGCGGCGGCGAATCGGAACGTCATGAAAGCGGAGCTCCATGTGAAGCTCAAAAACGAGAGGCATGTGCTCCAGCACAGAACATAAGTAGTAAGTAGCGCCGATGTTCGCTTCGACACCCAGCTGTTGTTTCAGGAATACGTCCAAGTAGATGCTGCGGTGCATCACCGAGATCCTGAGAACTTCACGCTTGAATTTCTGAAAGTTCTCATGTACGGAATCGATCCGAGACATGCGAAAATAGAAGACTTGTAGTTGGCAGACGTTCAATAGGACGTAAAAATGTCCTTCTCCACACTGCAGCATTGTGCCGACACGCAAGGAATCTCACCCACCAATCGGAGAAAGTACTGGACATGGAGCAAGACGAGAACGCTGTTGTATTTCGCACGTATACACGAAAGGAACAATGTTCATAAGCAGGAGGAAGGAGGGTCGCTCGCGCCACGTAATCTGGTCGGGAGTACCCCGGGGCTCTTTAGGGTGAACTTCAACGAATCTACGACCCTCCTTCGAGATCTCGAAAACTTGGGCTTGTCACCGAAATCAAAGTACGAGAGGTCAGATTTCGATGTTTTCGCTTCGGAGTGTTCATTTCGTTTGTTCAGAACCACCTGTTTCGCTGGACAGATCTCGGAGCAGCTCCTGCAATTACATGCGAATGCCGATAACCGATGACCATTATGAATCCTAAACGGATACAGTTCCATGGATCATGAGATTGCTGTCATGCACGCGAGAATTCCGCCGATGATCTGACAGATGAATCTCCAGAATGGATGAAGTGCTACGAGAGAGGCTTTCGAGGCCTCCCAGGTTCACCTCTGGGAGCAGAGATATGCGAATTTGAGACTACTCCATGTTTTCGGTTTTTTTGTATGATGGGTGTGATGTATGATATGATCTCTTCTCAGCCTCCCCTCCCGATTTGTTTCATACACAGCTTTGTGAAGAATACGACGCCGCGCTGCTCTTCGGATCTAATCCAGGACGAGAGTATCGCCGGAGCACGCGGATCGGGGCTCTTCTTACTACCAGGCCAGCTCCAATGAGAAGCATAGGCCATCTCCCATAGAACCATTGAAATACGTAATTGCCCGGACGATGCGTCATCAGACCTGGTATAGAAATATTGAATGAGTCACTCACGAGCGTACATCTCTTTCGATGCGTTCACCAAACAATCGGAAACATGCCTAAAAACGTCGGGCCCTCCACCGTGGTTGCGGAATATCGTCCTTCATAAGAGAATAAATTTTCGGGCTTGTCCCCTGCTCTCCTGTTCACGGAAAAAAGACCAGATACAGTCAAGTGCCGCTAAC